AGTGGAGTTATTACGCCTTGTTTGAGACCCATTAAAATAATAACGTAACATGTTCAGTAATCAGGTGCTAGAGAAACAGCTGGGTATAAGGTTGAGACGGTGTCAAAGTTGTGACGAGGATGAGGTTTATATCCTACAGCTGTAGCAAGTATACGGATGCAGAGCCAGCCCTAAAGGGAGCAGGAATAGCGGAAAAAGATAGGGACTTCTACAGTGCGACCAAGCATGCAAATAAGGAATCAGACGGGGACGAGTATCATGAGGCTGTTAATAATACCAATAAGAACCTTAGTCGATGGCAGCCGAGGCTCAAAAGAAGAGAGACCTTGGTTTGAGACCTATGGGCATTTGGACCCTCAGACGTCGGACTGGTCCAAAAGGTTTAAGCATGAGAGGCACAGTAGCAAAGAGCATCTAGCGAAGCCATGGATGTATTAATATCAATGGGAACGTTAGTCGATGGCGGCCGGTGATCAAAAGAAGAGAGGCCTTGGTTTGAGACCCATGGGCATTTGGAGCCCCCGAAGACAAGACTGGTACAAAATAAATAACTAAATAAATAAAAGCGGTTTATTCTCAAATTCATAGAGACACACCAAATCAGGCATGAGCAAGGTTAAAAAGCCGTTGTGTATCACGACGATACTTCGGGTTCAATCGTGTGTAGCTGAAACGGTCAAGGCACTATAAGTGCAATGAAACGGTGCATATAAACAATATCATATGCTTGCACTTGTCGGGAAGAGTTGAAATATGAGTCTAGTCGACTGGCCAGTAGGTAGCTGTGGGCAGTGACTTTATTCAGTGGCGAGTCACATCCGGCACATTGCAATATGGTTAAAGAATGAGAGGCACAGTAGCAAAGAGAATCTAGCGAAGCCATGGATGTTGCGCTGACGTTAGTGGTACCTATACCATCATTGAACAGTTGTGATATGGACCAAAATGTATGCCAAACCTGAAAGGGTGACGTTAAATTGTGAGCTGGGAAGCATGATAGTGGAGCCAAGAGAAAAAACTCAAGCGGGGACCGGATATTACAATTGCGGTAGACGGGACGAAGCATGCAAATAATGAATCAGACGGAAACGAGTAGCCTGAGGCTGTTACTAATACCAGTAAGAACCTTAGTCGATAGAAGCCGAGGCTCAAAAGAAGAGAAAGCTTGATTTGAGACCCATAGGCATTTGGATCCCCAGACGGCGGACTGGTCCAAAAGGTTTAAGTATGGGAGGCACAGTAGGAAAGAGAATCTAGCGAAACCTTGGATGTTGCGCTGACGCTAGTGGCAACTTTATCACCATTGAACAGTTTTACTATGGACCAAAAGAGATGCCAAACCATAGATGGAGACGTTAAAAGGTGAGCTGAGAAGCATGATAGGGAAGCTAAGAGGCAAAACTTGATCAGGGACCGGGTATTTCAATTTCGGTAGGCGGGACCAAGCATACAAATAATGACTCAGACGAGGAAGAGTATCATGAGGCTGTTACTAATACCAATGAGAACCTTAGTCGGTGGCAGCTGATGCTCAAAAGAAGAGAGACCTTGCTTTGAGACCTATAGGCATATGGATCCTCTGAGGCCGGACTGTTCCAATAGGTTTAAGTATGAGAGGCACAGCAGCGATGGGAAGCTAGCGAGGACTGAGATGTTGCTGTGTCGCTTGGAATACATAGACCACATTTGAAGTGTTACTGTATGAACCATAAAAATGCCGATGAGAGCTGGAGACGTTAAAATGAGCCAAAATCCTTGATAATGGAGCCGAGAGGCTAAACGCAACCAGGGACCGGAAATTTCAAGTGCGCTTGGCGGGACCAAGCATACAAATAATGAATCGGGCGGAGACAAGTATCACGAGGTTGTCACCCATGCCAATGAGAACCTTAGTCGATGGCAGCCGATGCTCAAAAGAATAGTGGCCTTGCGTTGTGACTTATAGACATTTAGAGCCTCAAACACCGGGCTGGTCCAAAAGGTTTAAGAGTGAGAGGTACAGTAACGAAGGGAATCTAGGGAAGACTGGGTTTTTGCGCTGGCCCTAAGGGTACTTAGGTTACTATTTAAGGGTTGCCATATAAACCAGAAGAGGTGCCGAATGCAATATACACAGAGTGGGGTTAAACATCGCGGTGAATGAGGCCTGAATATTCTCAAGTGGTCATAATATGGTGCTGGCGGGATAATGGAGACATCGATCCGATAGACGGGGATGTGAATACTACAGTGTAAATAAATAAATAAATAAATAAATAATTTATTCTCAGTTTCATAGAGACACACCAACGCAGGCATGATCAAGGTTTAAAAACCAACGTGTATCACGACGATACATTGGGTTCAAGCGTGTGTAGTTGAAACAGAGTCGGCAAGAGTTGATATGTTAGTCTAGTCGACTTGCCAGTTTGTAGTTGTGGGCTGTGACTTTATTCAGTAGCGAGTCACATCCCCCACGTCGCAGTGTTGTTAAACAGACATTTGTGGCTTTTTATAGGGAGAACGCTTGCCAGGCGAAAACCCACCACGTCCTGCAACACTGCCGTAAAGTATTTTGAACATTAATGTTGAACTGGCAAAGCCGCTTGACGACTGGTTTTACCTTCGGATTTTCGCAGAGTAATGGCTTCCGATTTCCTCTGCTAGTTGGACAGGTAATTTGATCGGGGTCGCCATTATTTTTGAGATCGGTGGAGGAGAGGGACCTCGTGATTATTCATCTTATTGTATGTCCAGGTGAGCAAAAGTTCAACTTCTCCGCTGTCCAGGTTTTACAGATGTATAATTTTTGGGAGTATGAGGATATGTCCATTTCTCCATACTGGACAAGGGTTATGGTGATTGCAGTTCGGTCCTTTCGGAGTTCTACCATGCTCCAGGTAAGTCCATGTGGGTTGTTGCGTCCGTCTTGGGCCAAAACTGTTCCTCATTCCAATCCCAGATCTCCAAGAATTCCCGGACCTCAGAGAAAAGGGAAAGTGAGGGACAGCCGAGAGAAGACCGCAAGAACAGGCATGGAGTTGAACATTGTTAATATCTTAAGTTACAACACTTGTGCTTGAGACAAAAGCATATACACTGTGCAACAATAATTATGCTGAAAATGTCTTTTGAATATCCTCCGGAATCATTAGCCTTATAGGTGGATTGCTAAAGCCTGCCTAGAGACAAGATCGTTGTACAAGTAAGTAAAGTACGAAGTATCCGTTTAGTAGGAGCCAATAATTGCGTAGGGATAGAGCAAAGAGAGTTAGGATAATGGTAGTGATTGTCAGGTTTATGAACAGCAAGTAGTTGACGTAATCCGAGAGGGAGCGCGTAATAAGTGAAAATAAATAGGTTGCCGTGAGAGTCCTAAAGGTTAATTGGTGGCAGGGCAGAGGAAGGATTGGATGCAGAAATTCTAGAGGAATAAAGGATATTGAGATACGGAGTGGCTCCTAACAAGCATTAAATTATCGCACATGCATGGAGCCAATGGCCACTATCTATTTCTGAACAGAAATTCCGAAAATACGACGTCCGACAGGTGGCGATAGAAGAGACTAAGTGGCCGGATGTAGCCATTCCAGTCAGATGCTTGGTCACTAGCGTATGCTTATAGGGTCGCTGAGTGTATCAACAGGCCAATGAAGGTAAGTGACAGTTCAGGTGCTAGGTCAACAGACCAGCAGAGCTGTGACGCAAGCAATCAAAAAGAATGAACATTGCAAGAAGAGAGCTAGCTCCGGATATCCGCAAAGTTAAGTGGAAGCTACGGTGACAAGCTGTTGCTAGGTAGAGATATTAGCTCTAGAAAAGAATATGTCAGTCGCTGTTGAAGCCATATCATTAAAACGATTGATCACTAGTGGATACCTACAGTTTCAATGAAGAAATCAACATGCGAGTGAAGATTCGAGAGACAAACGTCAGAGAAAAATCAAGGATGGAAATCAACGAGTGGATCCTTGCAAGCTACATGGAGCCAACAATGACTAGCTGCTATCAAGAAGAGTTGATGCGAGTAGGACGAGCGACACAACGGTGCGCTAGGAAAGAGAAGAGTGACCAGCAATAGAGTTCGGATTACGCCTTCAGTTACTAGTGTATCCTACGGTGGCATATAATAGGTCAACAAACCATCTGAGCTGTGACGCAAGCAATCCAAAAGAATGAACATTGTAAGAAGGGAGCTAGCTCCGGATATCCGCAAAGTTAAGTGGAAGCTATGGTGACTAGCTGCTGCTAATCAGAGATATTGGCTCTAGAAAAGAATGTATCAGTGGCTGTTAAAGCCATAGCATTAAGACGATTGATCTCTACTGGATACCTACGGTTACAATGAAGGAATCAACATGCGTGCGAAGCTTGGCAAGGCAGACGGCAGAAGAAAATAAGGGCTGTAGTGTCAGGGAATGGCTCCTTGCAAACTACATGGAGCCAACAATGACTGGCTGTTATGAAGAAGAGTTGATGCGAGTAGGACGACCGACACAACGGTGCGCTAGGTGAGAGAAGAGTGACCAGCAATAGAGTTCGGATTATGCCTTCAGTTACTAGTGTATCCTACGGTGGCATATAATAGGTCAACCAACCATTTGAGCTGTGACGTAAGCAATCCAAAAGAATGAACATTGTAAGAAGGGAGCTAGCTCCGGATATCCGCAAAGTTAAGTGGAAGCTATGGTGACTAGCTGCTGCTAATCAGAGATATTGGCTCTAGAAAAGAATGTATCAGTGGCTGTTAAAGCCATATCATTAAGACGATTGATCTCTACTGGATACCTACGGTTACAATGAAGGAATCAACATGCGTGCGAAGCTTGGCGAGGCAGACGGCAGAAGAAAATAAGGGCTGTGAAGTCAGGGATTGGCACCTTGCAATAGAGTTCGGATTACGCCTTCAGTTACTAGTGTATCCTACGGTGGCATATAATAGGTCAACAAACCATCTGAGCTGTGACGCAAGCAATCCAAAAGAATGAACATTGTAAGAAGGGAGCTAGCTCCGGATATCCGCAAAGTTAAGTGGAAGCCATGGTGACTAGCTGCTGCTAATCAGAGATATAGTCAAGGAGTGTTAGTACAGTGGAGCCACTTAGGGTATAGAATAGGCAATGGTGTTGAGGAGGTGGTAAAACCTTAGCGTTCTAGAAAGAACAGTAAGTGAGATATTTGGGTCAGAGGGATGGAAGCCTTGGGGCAGTCTCTTTTATGTGGAGCAGGAAGCCCAAAAGAGAGCAGACGTGCGAATTATAGAGCATCAGAAACAGCTGTGATGCGAGGTTAACATGAAGTAGGAGACTGTTGGAAGTAAAGAATAAAAAAGGGATGTAGGCTTATTCTCTAGAGATTGTTTGGTCCTGTCTCCCATTGCCCGTCTTCCGGCACTTTAAGGCTTAATAGTTCGGAAACTGTGTTTATGTCGAGGAATCTTCTTATAACATTGTTGAAGTGTGTACTGGTCACAAATGATCGGATTTGCGGAGGTAACGTGTTCCATGTGTTTGCGTATCTTTAAAGGAAGAAATTGTGGCGCATGCCGCAACTAGCAGCCGGTAGACTGAATGAATATGTCGCGTTGCGCAGATGATATCGGGTGTCCCCTGCCTTTCGGAAGTGTCGTGTCAGGTTGATTTCCGGCTTTCGTTTAATCTTGTATAGAAATGTAAGGTTTATCTCTAACTTCCGTAATCACAGCGGGTTCAATCTCAGTTCCTTGCATCGACTGCGGAAGTTTAGCATGTTTGAGCCTAGTAGACGCTTGGTGAAGGAAAGCTGTACATTCTCCAGTGCAATCCTGTCGCACCTGCGTGAGTTCGTGAGGACTATAGAGCAGTATTCAAGAATAGGCTTAGCGCACGTTTTATACTGTGTCAGTCGAGATTCCAACAGCGACATGGATTTGAAGATATAGCCTATTAATGATCTAGCTTTAGCTGCACTATAGCTTATTTGTTCGCAAAGTTGATGGAGCTAGAGTATTGAACTCCCAGCTTGCGAACAAAGTGGCTGACGGTAAGAGGGGCGAAACTGAGAGTAAGGGTATTCGGTGGCACTGTACATCTATAAGACAGAATGCTGCTTTTTTCTGAAGAAAACTCGAGATTCCATATTGCACACCAATTTGCAAGCACAGTGGTCACTTCCCTATTTTATTTGACCGGTACATCCTATATCTCTTCAGAACAGGCTTCTCACCACTTGAGCTTCACAAGTCTCACCGATTTCGTAGCTCAATATTTCTTTACATTGTACTACTTCGGCCCCTCGTATAGTCCATCTTCTAACCTTTTAAGAATTGCCTAAATATGCTCAGCGCCAGTGCTATACCCCTGTCATTGGTTAAGGTACTTCACTCACCTATACCTTTCACTGCCGTGTAGAGTAGTGCATGCGTGCATAAAGCGGGACCTATAACTTCATAGAACCATTCCTCTAAAAGTGGAAGCACTAACATCGAGCTCGGCTAGAGGACTTTGGTCTGCCCTCTATTAAAGGTAATGTAAGTAGTATGGATTCCAAGGAATTACATGTAACCACACGGAAGACGATGGAAGAAGTATGCACAAATATCGAAAGAATGCCCGACCATACCTCAAAGTGAAAACTAACAAACTGCCCAACCACATGTATGTAGAAAAATGTCCTAATACTTGTTCCATTCAGGCAATAGCATTGTAAGTTGGTACAAAATGGTCTGGTCCATTGCAAGGTAACTGCAAGCCTAAGTCCATAAATATACCCTATTTATTTATTTACTTAATCTTCTTGAACAAGCCCGGCCGCCGAGGCCCCACTTGCTCACGACTTCATAGTGTATTTACCTTCGTACTAAAATTGTCAGGTCATTAAATAAATAAGTAAATGAGTAAATACCTTATTCTCAACAAAGCAAGCACGCCTTATTGGCATGAGCAGCCTAGTGCAATGTTGTACAGGATAGCATGATTAGCATGACCGAGAGCGGAAGTAGTGCAGACATAGTCTGTCGTGTGGGCCCACATGGTCCAAAAATTAAATGTGGTATATCAGCTCAGAGCGCGTGATGCAGAGCTAAGGATTAGGTCATTGAACTGAAGTACGTTGGTGGGGACCTAGTGTGTACACAGTGCGGGTTAAGTGAGTGAAGCAGAAAGAAAAAGCTGCAAAAATATTTTAATATTAGTTGCAGGTTACTAATCGAATACGTAGGCGTAATCCCATGAGAGCAGCTATAGGCAAAGAATTTGTGAAATATGGTATCATTTAACTTGCTAATGCGTGGTTGGGGCAGGGATTTTATTTAGTGGCAGGTCACGTCCGCCACATCACAGTGTTGGTAAACAGACATTTGTGGTCTTTGTAGGGAAAACGCTAGCCAGGCGTAAACCCCTTACGTCCCGGAACACTGCAGACCGGTGGTAATGTCTTGACAAGGATGCATCCGACCTATTGTCCGCCCAGTTCTTCGCAGTCAAGTTTCGCCGGTTTGTTTCCCATGGCTGTGTGGTTTTTCCCTCGGAGTCGACCGCAAGTAATTGAAGCAGTTGAAGTCGGACGCCTCAGGTGCTTATTACTGGTTTGCTTTATTTTGCTGGTTGCTTCAGTGTTTTAGGATTGCAATGCGCAGAAAATTTCCTTGTTCTGGGCTGATTTTGTGGCCAGGTAAACGCCGAGGCATGTCCTCAAAGGTGTTTTGCGCAGATAATGATATCATTTAGGATATGGAAGAATAGAAAATCGGAACGAGCAAACTGCCAACGAAATTGAACAGGACGACCTTGGTGAATGAATACAAGGTGTTGGTAATGTTGTGGTGATTAAAAGTAGTGAACTGACCGAGTATGTTATACAGCAGGTTTTATTTTGCATGCAATTACCAGACCCGATATTCGTTGAAGGCGAGAGACAAATGTTCTCCGAATTGGCCTAGTATAAGCAGCAGTTGTCCAGTGTGGCTGTCTGGAGTATCAGGCATTGTTAACATGTAAAAGAGTTTAGGGGATCAGAAGGGCATAGTACGTGTGGCAATATGCAACTAAGATGTAGGTTGGGCGATCGGTCGAGAGTTGTAGGGCTTATCGTTTGAACA